GATATAATATTTCAAATCTCAACAATCTTCCGAATATTACATGAACACCTGAATTCAATATTGCTAACATATTTTCTTAGAGCCACAATAAACATTAGAAGCACATTGCTAAGATGTCACTATCATGTTCATAGTCATTCTTTTGTGACATTTTCTGAATCATATAATGTCACTGTTATGTTCATAATCATTGATAAAAATATAATAGTATTTTCTGATAATTTAAATCAATCTACTCTACTAAACAATATAATTTTATCATCGGCTTGACAACAATTGACAGTTTCATTTAGGTAGTGTAGTAGGTATTATAACCGAAAGAAAACCGAAATCAATCCAATTAGGCAATCCAACAATTTTTAGAACATTATATTGCATGCCAGATTCTGGCTAACGTCAGGGATTCCACCAAAAGTTTTATCAAATAACTACTTTTGAGAAACATTGAAAGTTACCGATCGAGTGTCTGTGAACGCTACCCTAAGTACCCTAACCTAAAATAATCCTAACTTGTCAAATGGCATGACTTGCAATTTTATTGCATATTTTTCGTAGTGATCCGTTGTTTCGAGTTAAAATGAGCTCCCCAGCAGAAGAAGTTAAAAAGGTAAGTGCCACTTTTTATGAAATGGCAATTATTACTACTGTAATATGAAATGAGGGGTTGATAATTTTGTATTTTACAGTTCAGTTCAGTTCAGTTATACAAGCTAGGTTAGGTTATGGACGTTAAGGTCCTGTTTTATATTTGTCATTGTTGGAAAGCATCATTGGTCACGTTCCAAGGGACTTTAAACAGGGTTTTCAGAAAATTATCCTTTCTAGAAGCCGAATACCTGGCTTAAAATCTATCAGCATTTGAATTAGGCCACTCTCAGCTGGAACACTGTATTTTAATTTAAGTATATGGTTAAAATTGGAAATTTGTACTCTTTTCTAGAAGCATTGAGGAAAGAATTTCCTATGGTGACCGACAGAGAGTTTGAATTAGTGGTAGCCGATTGGCTCCGTTATTCAAAACAAAGGAAAAATAGAGAACACCACCTGTAATCTGCTAATTTAATAAGCAATTAACCAATGAACCTGTGAGCGAAAATGTAGATGTCAGCAATTGCGAAAACATCGCATGGAAAACGACCAAAGACGAAAAACCAAAGATAATAATAGTAGTAGATTGGTGTTGGACAATTATATAAATATACAGGCATGCTCTTGAACCATAATTATTGTTTCATTTCCTATCCATGATTATGCGATGTAGATTTTTTTTATTGATTCTTCTTCATCAAAATGACGAATTTCATCAGAGAGATTGATTTGGCCAATATTTGATGATTCCATTACAAATTTTGGAAGAAAACAAAACAGTTTATAGGTTTCCACAATTTTATTTATATGATACTTTAACATGTTCCACCAATGGTGATGCGTTCTTCAGACGGAATAAATAAACTAATGTGCTAAGCTAGAATATATTAGCACAATATAGCAGGTCCGTCTGAAGAAGGCACTGCGTGCTGAAACATGTTATAGTATCGTATAAATAAAATTGTAGAAAACTAGAAACTTTTTGTTTACTTTCCAAATTTTTAATGTAATCATTCATCATATCTCTTCAACGTTACAAAAGCAATATATTGGTAATATAAATTTTGTAACAAGAACATGTTGCCTCCATGTAACTGTAACATGGTAGCAATTTCCAGAAATATACTATGAGAAATATTAATAAAATGTATCAAAAAAAATATGGCATAAATGTGATTTCAATGTAACAAACATCCATAAGATATTTCTTTAAATAATATTGATAGCATATCACAAAAAAAATATTACGTCAATGTTGTTGTTATATGAATGTAATATCTCGTGACATTCAATGTCACTTTGTGATATCGATAGTCGAGACATAAGCTATTGCATACATGTCACAATGACATCACCACCATATCTCGATTAATGTCACATTATCACAAAGTTATATAATTACAATATGAATGTAACAAGATTTTGTTTGGTGGGTTTTAATTCATCGATGATTTCTTTTGCTGTGGTTTTTCCTTTGATTTGTACCTTTGATCATAATCAATACATTGTCAGAAAGACAGTTAACTATAAGGTTTCGGGCTTTGAGATCCTTCTTCTTAAACGCAGCCAACTGTGTCGGGTCTACAATGGCCACTGTGGTCAACATTTCTAATAGTGTTTTCTGTTGGTAAAACTCGTGCTGTCCGAGTTCTGCACTCAACACTGAATCAGTTCACGTTTAGTGCAATCCCAAAAGAACATGAATTTGGCGCGTTTTGTCATCCTTTTCAAATTTATTATTTAACGATCCCTGATCCCTAACCTAACCTAAAGATATTTTCAATGGAATAAAAATTAAAAACGTTTGTGTGTATGAAAAAGTTGAAAACGGAAGTTTTTCCTGTATGTAAAGTACATAATTATGCTGTCTCCCGAGATGTTCAGAAATAATTCCAATGATACCTGCGTTGAAATTAATTTTTATGTCAATTTCAATATTAAAATTTTGAATTTTTGGTATCTCATTATCCCTGGAAAACATTCAGGCCTATGATCCTCGTGTTGCTAAATTCACCAAAATGGTGCACCGTCACGGGTGCGGTGAATAAAATTCACTAATGCCAATGCCAAACCACTGCTTGTCAAAACCTGGTTAATTTAACAACACTGCTTGTTCTACCATTCCACCACGGTGCCTACACCAGCTGAATTTAGCCACACGCGGGATGTATACTGCCCTGTTATTTCAACGTCTGTGTTAAGGCTCAACATCTATTTCTGTCTCTATTTTTACGTTGCTGTTAGAATAACAGAAAATGATACATCATAGGCCTGCGATTGTAGATAATAATAATAGGTCTGTTTCTGCAGAAATCACAAACCAGTCAGAGTAAATTTCATTGGTTGAAAACAGTCAGAAAACTAGTTTCAACCAATGAAATTCACTCTGACTGGTTTGTGATTTCTGCAGAAACAGACCTAATAATTCTTCCTCTTCATCGCTGTCGCTCGACGAAGATAAAAAATATAGAATTTTATCAATATCGATATCTATAATTTTTTGGTTTTGTTTATACACAGACTTTTCCGCACTTTACGCCATCTTTGTTGTGCCCTGACATTGGCACGAGCTCTCTGACCTCGTGCTGGAAAAGTTGCACGAGTGCAATAATTGATTGCCCTGGTTTTCCAATAGAACATAAAAACCCGCTCGGAAACTGCCAACAGAACATAATTTTTGCATGAGTGCAGCACGAGTTTTACCAACAGAAAACGCTATAAGACTTCATGGTGTTCTAACAAGAGCTTCATTCTAAACTCCCAGTTCTCATAATTTGTACCATCAAACGGCTTGATACTTTGCGGAATCGTCGACATTTTTCTTCCGTCTTCTTAAGATTCAGATATTTCCACAAGACACTAACAAAGCTTGCTGCTTATCCACTTTTGTTCCACTGCTTTTTTTTTAAGTCTTTACTTTCCCTTTTCCTCAGCTTTCCCGCCTGTATAAAACGCCTTAACTTCTGGGCCCATAACCTATTAACTTGTACTAGCAGAGTAAGTTAATATTTATAAAGGACTAGCTGAAGGTTTCAGGTTTCCAATAAACAACACAAAACAGCTTCTAACTGAAGACTTCTTTATTAATTAATTGTAAAATGTAGAGCGCCAAAAACGTAAACAAAGGACGCTTTTCGACAGACACGACAACCCTATGTTTAACATTTGACAAATATGATTAGGTTATAATTACTCAAGGAGTGGGTTCGAGAACAGGTTAAATTGTCCTAAACTGATACGTGTAAATCAATATAAATTCCATGTTCTGGCTATAGATCCCTGTAAACATAAACAATTAGAAAGCACTGCTTCTATTTATTTTTTTTTGTTAAAAATCTGGCAAAGTCTACAAATTGGTGACACTTTGCCAACGCGTTTAAAACCACCTAAATCTAAATATAAGACTATTATATGGGTTAGTTTGCCTTCAAATATGATTTTCAAAAAGGTACCATATGTTTTTTTCATTGTTGGAAACAAAAAAAATACGATTTAATATCAAAATATCAAAATAACTTAAGTCATTGCTTGAAATATTTTGCACTGCTTCTTTTACAGTATCTTCATTATAGTTTTCGTAGATTCGACCCATATTTTGATCTCAAAAACCAAAAACGGTAAGAAATATATAAGGCAAAGACACCTACGAGTGGCTTGCAAGGTCACACTTTTTTTAAAATAATTTAAAATCTCAAAAACCATTATTTTTTAATACTTCAAAATTTCACAATCATTAGCCATTGAAGTGTATATTTTGGCAAAAGGATTTATTTTGGGTTAATCGTATTCATAAAGGTGTCACAAGTCTTACTATTTTAGGAATTGAAAATCGTAAAATTCTTAGCTTATATGCAGCACGTGTTCACTAGCACCATAGCGCAGCAATCGCAAGTCTGACTATTTGCAACAAGTTAACCACGTTTTCTTTAATAGTTCCTACAACTTCCGCTAGGTTCTGCCATTGGAGTTACAAAAAATATTGTTACAAAAAAAAAAGTCAACTCTGGCACATTTGCTGAGAATTTTGTCACTTTCATCTAGATTAGATAAAGTTTCTTTGTTGAATATTTGCACTCGAGCATTTCTAGAACTAAAAAGAAAGTCTATGATGATGTAAGATAAGTACCTAAGTACCTAGTTCTGGAAATCTAATATTTTTAAATTAATTTGGATAAAAGTTGTTTGTTTATATAATTTGTAAATTTTTCATTATTTTTCTCTTTCTTTTCTTGCCTATCTAGAATATTGTCTTATAATTTAGTCTACAGTCTAGAGTAGAAGTAATCCTTCAAAGACATCCTAAATCTGCAAGACATAGATTACAATCTGGATGCCTAAAGAATCTTCAAATTATCTAGAATAATCAAAGCCAAAATTCACGAATAAGCCTACTAAATAATTATAAATTCCAGATATATCTTCAAAAACGTATGACGTGGGACGGCTCGAAACTCCTCAGACACACTCTCCAATTCTTAGCGGTGCTCTCGTCAGTTTTCACAGCAATGACCAGAGTATCTGACTACAAACATCATTGGAGTGACGTTTTATGCGGTCTACTTCTTGGCAGCATCGAAGCAATCATAATTGTAAGATTTAACTTTGGTATTTGCATGTAATTTGTGTATTTTGCTTCAAGGGTTTGGTAAAATTGTCTCCGATGGTCTAATTTTTATATAATTTTGCAGGCCATTTACTTTGCACGGTTTCGGGCCGACGATGATAAAAATTTAAGAGACACTTACATACCGATTTAGGGCTTTTGACTATGAGGTATTTATCTGAATATATTCTTAATTAAAGTCAATTGGACAATTTCAAATTACCAATTATCATTGTCCAATTGTCTTTAGAAATATTAATTTACACATGCCGCTTATTACTAACAATAAATGCTTGTGGTATATTATTATTGCAAAAATAGATTTTTGTGTGGGTGGAAATTTTTTGATATCAAACCATAAATCAATAATTATAAATAGAAATACTTAATACCTTGATTTTTTGGAAATTGTCTCATCAAAAAAACAATTTTATCAGACCATTAAAAATTGATCCTTAAATGTTTGTTCAAACTAATCAAGTAGGTGCCTATTTTTAAGTCATTGTTGCTTATTGTGTTTTGCTTATTTTATAAAAAAAAAATAAGTATATTAATTTTTGTCTTTTTCCAGGCACGATTTTTCTCTACACTATTCTCATCAGACAGTACCGAGTCCTCAGAGCATTCCGATTTAAATGGACACGGGAACAATAGGACCACAGCTGTAGGAGTTTGAAAATTAGAGACCAATCAATGTGGATAATATTAGATCATTTCAGTAATAATTAAATTAAAAAGACAATAAATTAAAAATGATCTAATATTCAATACTGCCAATGAGTATTTTTGTGTTGGACAAACTGTATATGAAAAATAAAAATACCCCCTTTTTCCAAATGCTGTGATCCTCAAAATGGAAATTTTTGTTCTCAATTTAGTGAATTTTCTACCCCATTTTACTACCTAAATATAATGCATTTAAATTGTCGCTTTAAATGTGCTTTTGCAATAATTGAATTGTTTTTAAATTATGATAACTACAAGTACTTATTATTTATATTTATTTATTAGGTAAATTTATCAAGCCTATAGTGAAAACAATATTTGTAAATTTTAGCAATAATAATTGAAAAATACATATTCTTGTTGAATTGTTTTCTACTTAAGTATTACTTATGAAAAATGTGATTATTATTTAAGATAATATATCATCAATTTTATATTATTTATTACGTTTTTTTGTTTGTTATTATTAAGATTTTAAATTATTTAAATAAAACAATAAATAACTATAGAATATAAATTGATTTATTTTTAATTATACTGGCTGTATTGTAGAGCAATTTTGGCATACTTGTGTACCTCCTTATCGAGTGGATAAATTTTATTTTTTCCACTAATGGGATAAAACACAGGCAAAATAATAGGATTACTGCATACAAGCATATAAGGACTACCAGTTTCTCTTCCATATGTTTCCTTATAAGCTTCCTGATCTAAACAATCTTCAACAGTTACACATCCTAGGAGGCAACCAGTAGGATATTCTTTTGGAAATTTCAACATATCATCTAAAATTGGTATGGGGATGTCGGTAATTATAAGAGTTAGAGGGTGGTTTAAATTGGGGCAATCAATTGTTCACCAAACAGCCATTTCGAAATTTGAAAAATTGTCAATAAATTATACACTATTGAAAAGGGCTCTATAAATCTGTGTTAAATTGAGTCTAATAACTCAAATACTTTCTAAGCAATTGAGCCTCAAATTGAATTTTATTCAATAAAACTTCAAACTCAATTTTCTCTAAAACTATAAGCCTGAAAATATTTTCCAATACAGGTTTTTTAGATCTTAAAAGGAGCTCAAACTTCATGCAAATTTTGATTCAATTTCTAGGACGGATTTCAAGATATTGAAGTTTAAAGATTTTGAAATGTATTTTTGCATGCATTAACATGAGAAAAAAGAGAAAACTTCAATTCATAAATCCTGAAAGTTTCAAGTCACTGTGATCATAAGAAGTATTTTGCGAGGGGTGGTTAACTGGTCAAAATCTGTGTACAAGTTGGTCAAAATCCCAGAAAATCTCATAAAATCTACTCAAAATCTGGGATTTAACAAAATCCCACAAAATCTCTTGAAATTGCACAAATTCATTACCGCACCCAGTGAGTTAAGAAGCTCTTAACTCATTCATTTTGAGTGATTTAAGATCTTCTTAACTCACGCATTTTCATTGCATGTGAAATTTTTGCGGAGTTCTATGGAAACTCATATTAAATTTTCATTTCAAAATTTCATTAAATCATATACTGTAATTCCGAAAAAAAAAATTCTAAGAATTCCATAAAATCTTCTGATGAAATGTTAAGGAATTTCTAAGGAATTACTAAAAATTTTCACGGAATTCCTATGGAACAACTTGAAATTTTAGTGGATCGAATTCCGAAGAATTTCATGAAATTTCATAATGTAATTCGGAGAAATTTTTGTTCAAGAATTCCATTGAATTTTATTGTGGAATTCCATAGAAAATTTTTAGGGATTTCCGTTTTCCCATTCAAATTTACGATTTGAATAGAATTTCGAAGAATTCCATAAAATCTTCTGGTGAAATTCTAAGTAATTTCTATGGAATTGACTAAAACTTCCGTGAAATTTCCTTGGAATAACTTGAAATTTTACTGGAATTCCAAAGAATTTCATGAAATCTTTATATTGCAATTCCGAAGAAAAAAAAATTCCGAGAATTCCATTGAATTTTATGGTGTGAAATGTGACATGTGAAATTTTTGCATAGAATTCACATTTAATTTTAGTTCCTCTCGAATTACATGAAATTTCGAAAAATTACATGAAATTTCAGTGGAATTTCGATCGAATTTCAAGAAATCCTGAATGAGTTGCATGGAGGAATTCTAAACAATTACATGGAATTACACCGAAATTCCCAACATGAAATTTCAGTGCTCGTTGAGTTACATAAAGAATTTATAAAAAGTTTCAAAAAATTACATCAAATTCGAATTACGTCGAATTATATATGGAGCTCCAATGCAATTGCATGAAATTCCAAGGAATTGTCAGGAAATTACATGAAATTTAAGTGGAATTTTGAACAGCTCTTATCGTTTCATAAGGAATTCCAGTGAGATTCCAAAAAATCCTAATGTAATTAATTACATGAAGTTTTATTTTTATTCCCAGTTAAAAATATGGCATTTTAATGAAATTGATATAAAATTCCTATCGAATTAATGAATTTTAGTAAAATTAGAGAAAATTTCACAAGTGGAATTTCCGGCTAAAAACTTACAATTTCGGTGAATGGAAAAATTCCCATGTAATGATATGAAATTTCAATATAATTCGGAGGAATTTCGGTCAATTTTCAAGAAATTACTTGAAGTTTCATTAATATTCCCAGATATTCCTGACTATTGAAAGAGAATTTCGGTGAAATTCCGAAAAATTCTTATGGAAATAAATGAAATTTTGAAAAAAAAATTGAAGTTTCATTGGAATTTCGAGAAATATTCGACTAATAACGTGGAATTCAGTGAAATTTCAAAAAATTCTCATAAAATTTTAGTGAAATTCCGAGGAATTTCTAAGAAATTCTTTTTTGTGGAATTCCAGGATATATAAAAAAATTATAAAATTTGGAATTTCTATAGAATTTTGGAGAATTTCAGTGGAATTTCGAGAAAAAAAAAAAATATAGATGAAATATTCGCAGAACTTCCATCAAATTATATGCATATAATTTCATTTTGTGTCGACTTACATAAAATTTCGATGAAATGTCGAGTAAAATTCCAATAAATTCTCGTCGAATTACATACATGAAATTCCTTGAAACCGTATTATGGAATTCCAGTGAAATTACATGAAATCCGAAAAATTCCTTTGAAATTAAACAGAATTTCCATGGAACCACGAGAAATTTCGACAGAATTCCGAAGAATTGAATTAAATTTTAGTGAAATTCTGAGTAATTTGTGTTTAATTACATAAAATTTTAATGGAATTCCGAGAAATTTCATGATATCTTTTACTGTAATTCCGAGAAATTTTTGTACAAGAATTCCATTGAATTTTAAGGTGGAATTCTATGGAGTCTTATGGTGAAATTCGGAAAGTATTATGAAATCTTATGGTAAAATTTCTAGAACTTTTTTGTCTATTCAAATTTGTCATTTGAATGGAATTTCGAGGAATTCCATAAAATCTTCTAGTGAAATTCTAAGGAATTTCTATGGAATTAACAAAAATTATCGCAAAATTCCCATGAAATAACTGGAAATTTTAGTTGAATGCTGAAGAATTTCATGAAATTTCATAAATAGTGTAATTCCGAGGAATTTTTGTCCAAGAATTCCATTGTTTTTTATGGTGGAATTTCATAGAAATATGATGAAATTCGGAAAAGTATTATGAAATCCTATAGTTAAATGTCTAGGAATTTCCGTTTTTCCATTCAAATTTGTCATTTGAATTTAGGATTTCTAAAAACTTTTCAAAAACCCCTAAAATGCTCCAGAATCACCTAAAATTTTGAAAATCTAAAATCTGAACTCCTGTAAAATCGTGTAAAGATTTTCAAAATTCCCAAAATCCTACAAAATCAATTAAGATTTAAAATATGTGTTCATTTTTTTATAGAGTTAACTAAACCTCGGAGCGGTTGATTGGTCAAAATCTGTGTACAAGTCCAGAAAAACTTGTACACAGTGTACTTAAAATCCCTGAAAATCTTTAAAAATTTAACAAAACTTCACAAAATCCCTTTGAAATCACTTGAAATTGCATCAAATTTCACAAAATCACATAAAATTTTATTAGAACAAAAAAAATGCGACAAAATCTTATAAAATCATTAATATATGTATTATCCTAAAAGAAAGTTCCTTCCAAATTTCCAAATGTCTTTTGAAATTTTCAAAAATCCGTTAAAATTTCTAAAAATCCTTTAGGATCTCTAATGGCCGTTGCCACAAACTATTTTATGGGAGCTTCAACAATAACTATTCCTTAAAATGACAGACTTCTATGGAGAAATGTCAGTTTAAAAAATACTCATTGTCAAGGTTCCCCTAAATTAGTTGGTAAAAACGCCATAAAAACCCTTTTTAAATTCCCTAAAATGATTCAAAATCACCTAAAATGTAATAAATCTAAAATCTTTTAAAATCCTGTCGTAAGATATCTACTTAAAATCCCTGAAAATCTTTAAAATCTTTAAAAATCTAACAAAATTTTATTAGAACAAAACAAATCCGGCAAAATCACCTAAAATCTTTTAAAATCCTGTAAAATCAAGTGAAGATTTTCAAAATTCTCAAAATCTTACAAAATCAATGAAGATTTAAAATCTGTGTACATATTTTGAAGAGTTAACCACCCCTTGGTATTTTGCACAAGTAATTTTTGCAGCTTTTAACCATTTTTGCATGCATTGACATAAGAAAAAGTTTCCATTAATTTTTCCACGAAGAGAAAACTCCAATACATAAATCCTGAAAGTTCCAAGTCCCTGTGATCATTAGAAGTATTTTGCACAAGTGATTTTTGCATATTCTAATCATTAATGCATGCAATTAATATGAGAAAAAGCTTCTAAATTCAGTTTGGAACTTCAAATTAACTTTTCCGCAAAGAGCAAACTTCAATTCATAAATCTTGAAAGTTTCACGTCACTGTGATCATTAGAAGTATTTTGCACAAGTGATTTAATCATTTTTGCATGCATATTAATTCAAAAACTCCTTATTTTTATATCAGAATGACTTATTAATGAGTTAATTGCTGTGGTAAGAGCGGAGCAACATTTTCCAAATTTTGAAACGGCACCGAAAAAACAATATATTTCAAACCTTTATAAAATTCCCTGTAATAATTCTCCAAAGCTAAAACTTCCTCTTCGTCTGGCTCTTTTGCAGCTGCAGCTATCCATAACCGACCTCTGTGAGTTGTTGGCCAAACTCTACCTTCATCCCTAAGAAAATTCAAAGATATTTATTGATTATTTTCAAATTTGAATTTACATTTTTACTCCAGCAACCAATAAGCTAGCATAAGGCTGGTGCATGCTCAAACAAAGCCCTTGGTCGGTAAATGGAGCAACTTCGTCCAACATTTTAGTGTTGTACTTTATTATTGGCATCTTTTTGTCTTCTTCTCCTAAGTCTTCTTTTTCCTTGGGTTTTTTGTGCCGCATTTGTACCAAAAGCTCTGCCAGTTCGTTGTTAGATTTCTAGAAAAGAAAGACATTAATTGAAATTAAAAGCTATATGTACTTAAGTAAAATCTTTACATTTTTTTGAGCTAGAACTGCACTTGATTTCAATTCGCTTTCTTTTTGCAGGTTCTTATAAAGGGCTTCAACTTTTTTCATATGCTGGATTGAAGCTTTTAAGAATAAGTTTTTTAGTCTTTCGTCTTCTTGGGTGCTTTCGATTACTTTTCTGCTAGCAAAATCGAGAGCAACGACGATTTTTCGTTTATCTGCATTAGCTTCTTTAGCGTTTACTTTGAAATAATCATTGTCGTCATCAAAGACTTTGTTGAGTTTGTGCCTTTTAAAAAAATCATAAATATTTGATAAATAGTTGTATAATAACTGCTTACTTTGCTAAAGCTTTTCCATTGGTGGGATTTTCAGCTTCTCCTCTGAAAGATATCTACAACAAAATTATTAAATTAACAATCAAATTTATTAACCAGTATAAATTCAAGTAGCAAAGGAAAAAGGATTTTTTTTTGTGAAATTTTCAAAAAGGAATTTAAAAAAAAATAATGACTAAAATTACAGTGTACTATAGCTTATAATCCAGAGCAGAAAGGAGTAGCAGAATGTTTAAATAGGACAGTCATGGAGAGGGCTTGGAGTTTGATTTTTGATTCAAAATTGGAGAGATAGGTATTTGTGGGGGTGAAGCTGTAAGAACTGGTATTTAATTAACAGAACATTGGGAAAATCAAGGGGCAAACCACCTAATAATGCTTTGCCAAAAATGTGGGGAATTTAGAGGAATTATTTGAAGGAACTCATCGGAATTTATGAAAATTTGGGGAATTTATAGGGAATTTGGAAAAATTTATGGGGAATTTGGAGAAATTTGTGAGGAATTTAAAGTCATGTAGTAGAGTCATGAAGTTCACATTCATATTATGAGAAATACTGATAAATGGAATTTTTTTAAAAAAATCTTAGTTTTGTATTGAACGTTGGACATTCATTTTCATTAAAGAAATTCTCCCAAAATTTTACTTCATGATTTACAGGTCTAAATTTAAAAAATTCAAAAGAATAATGAGTACAGTTTTTGTAGGCTGATTTCCAAGATTCTTCATGTTGTTATTTTCCACTGGAAAAATTTGCAATTTTGGGAAAATGAGCCTCTTACCTTCCTCTACACATGCAAAGAGTTTCAAAATATTCCCTTCACTAGTTTTCTAAGAAAACTCTGAATTGTGTGAGACAGTATTTTTAATTAATTCAGTTATTGTAGGTTGATTTCCAAGATTCTTCATGTTGTTATTTTCCACTGGAAAAATTTTAAATTTTGGGAGAATGAGCTTCTAACGTTCCTCTTCTCTTGCAAAAATTTCCAAATTTTTCCTTCCACTAGTTTTCCAGGAAAAATTGGGAATGTGTGAGACGGTTTCATTAACTAATTCAGTTTTTGACAGGTTGATTTTCAAGAATCTTCATGTTGTTATTTTCCACTGGAAAAAATTCAAATTACGGGAAAATGAGCCTCTAACTTTCCTCTTTACATACAAAAAGTTTCAAATTTCTCCGTTCACTAGTCTTCCAGGAAAACTTTGAAATGTGTGAGACTGTATTTTCAATTAATAATTCAATTTTTGTAGGTAGATTTCCAAGATTCTTCATGTTGTTATTTTCCATTGTAAAAATTTGAAATTTGCGGGAATTTGGAGGAATTTGCAGGGAATTTAGAGGAATTTGTGGGGTATTTAGAGAAATTTGTGGTGGGGTATTTATTTGGAGGAATTTGTGATGGGGTATATATCTGGAAGAATTTGGAGGAATTTGCAGAAGTTTTGAGGAATTATGTGGGAAAAATTAAAAATTCCTTTTTGAGGAATTGTTTGCACAAATTCTGGGATGGGGAAAATAACAAGACACCTGCAGAAATATGGAATTATGAGAAATCTAACTTGGACAAACTAAAGTTATTTGGGTGTACAGCATGAAATTTGAAACCAAAAGTAACCAGAAAGTCAAGATTAGAATCCATTAGATCAGAGTCTGATCTGATCAGAGAAATTAATAATGGTAGGATATGCTGATGATGGGTATAGGTTTTGGAGAGAAAATCATCAGCAAAAGATTGTTACTGGAAGAAATGTGATTTTTGATGGAAAGAAGAGGGTTTTAGACAATCAATTTATACCTATAGAAAATTGCGAGAATAATGAAGAAACTAATGACATAGAAAAAGAGGATCTAACATTAAAGAAAAATAGGAACATTCAAGAAAAAGGACCAAGAAGAACAGGTTTACCACATTATTTTCACAATTACAACCTAAATGTTGATGTGAACTTTGCAGCTTCGTCAGCAGGAAATATATACAGGGTGTTAATAAATAGTGGGATCAAACTTCTAGGATAAATAATAGTACTCATTAAACTAATAAAAAAGGTGATAGAAACATAGGTCCGCAAATGCTTAGTTTTCGAGATACAGGGTGTCAAAGCTTGAAAAAAATCGGTTTTTCAAAATTCTTTTTCCGAATTTCTTGAAACTTTGCAGATATGTTTGTTATAACAAAAGGTATCTTTTGACTCAATTACATTTCTCGTAATTATTCCAGTGACGCCCCAGAGGGCAACTACGTTGGTAAAAGTAGGAAAAAATGGCACTTCACTATTTTTTTATAACTGATATTTTTTTTTTTTCAGATTAAGCAAGTCAATTACAGTCAAAAGTCAAAAGATACCTTTTGTTATCACAAAAAAACCTGCCAAATTTGAAAAAAAAAATTGGAAAAGGGATTTTTGAGATGAAAAACCGTTTTTTTTTTTAAAAACTTTGACACCCTGTATCTCGAAAACTAAGCATTCGAGGACCCATGTTTCTATTAACTTTTTTCTTATTTCAATGAGTACTATTTATCCTGAAAAATTTATCCCACTATTTATTAACATCCTGTATATTTGAAAAAGTACCTAGAACATACACAGAAGCGAGCACAGAAGCATTGGAACAAGGTTGGAAAAAGGTTACCAATGACGACGACCTACAGGAAACAGAAGGTTTTAAATTCAACGGACCAGTCAGTTTCTTTATACTCAAAATGTGCGAGGAATCAGGACTAAACTCCGTGATATTTGGACATCTCACGAAAAATTTGAATTTGACATTGTTATCTTTACGGAAACTTGGCTCAATGATGATCTTCAGGATGCGGAAATAGGACTTGAAGGTTTTAATGTTTTTCGATGTGACCAAACCAATGAAACAAGTGACAAATCAAGAGGTGGAGGAGTACTCTTAGCAGCTAAGTATTCAGTACCTGTGACTAGAGTTATTTGTGATGATAGGTCAATTGAATGTTTGTTTGTGCTTTTAGGGAAAGGAGCGAGTAAGATTCTAATTTGTGTTGTATACTTACCTCCTAAATCTAACTTAGAACTTTATGAATCTTTTTGTAAAATAGTCGAAAATGTAATGGAGAAGACTGTATGTAATGATGTTGTAATTTGTGGTGATTTTAACATTCCAGGTGTGGAATGGGAAAATGATGAGTATGGGACTAGGGCGGTTGGTATGATGCCACCACAGTGTAGAGTTCTTTCAGACTTTTTTGCATACCTAAATTTAAATCAGAAAAACACTATTGCTAATATTTTTGGTGCCTATTTAGATCTAATAGTGACTAATGTTCACTCTGTGAACGTTTCACGCATGTCTGAACCTCTACTACCCCTTGACAACTACCACCCGGCTCTGTCCTTCAGTATTCGTATCAGTCATCAATTTGAGACCTTAAATTCGTCGCATGAATATTTTGATTTTAAAAATTGTGATTACATCAGTCTGAATAATTTTCTTGGTACTTTTGACTGGTCTCAGGTTCTGAGCTCAGATGATGTAAATACTGATGTGGACATATTTTATGAGATAGTGTATTATAGCTTCGAAATGTTTGTTCCAAAGAAAATATCAAAACGGCCAATATTTCCATAATGGTACAATGATTCTCTGAAGGAATGTATTCTTAGCAAAAGGGCGGCTCATAAAATATTTAAAGAATCGAACAATGTGAATGACTACAAATATTTCTCTGATTTACGAGCTGGATTCAAGCGCCTGTCTGTAGTTGCCTACCATGAACACATCACGAAAACTGAAAATTGCATTACCCAAAATAGTAAAGAATTTTGGAAATTTTAAAGAAAAAAAATAACGCTTTTGATATCCCTAAAACCATGTTTTACAAGACTGAATCTTCTGATGATGGAAATATTACGGTAAACTATTTTAGTGACTTTTTCTCAACTGTTTATCGTGATAATAATAATTGTGATACTTATAATTTTAATGTAGTTAGGTCGTTATCAATAAGTACTTGTGATTTTAATGAAATTGATGTCTACAATGCAATTGCTAGCCTTAAAGACCATTTGTCTGCAGGGCCTGATAACATAACTGTGATATTTTTGAAAAATTGTGTATGTATTTTGACCTTTATTTTAAACATTATTTTTACTAAGTCAATGTTAACTGGTATCTATCCAGATGTGTGGAAAAAGTCATTTGTAACTCCTATATTTAAAGGTGGCGAAAAAAGTGATGTTACTAACTACAGGGCAATAAGCAAAATGTCTTTGATAGCAAAAGTTTTTGAGATTATTATAGATTCTAAAATCAAGACTGCACTACAATCAATTTTAAATGAAAACCAACATGGCTTTATTGCTGGAAGATCCACTGTGAGTAACTTGCTTGTTTATGAGTATTTCTTGAATAGTTCTCTTGAGGGGGGTAACCAGGTGGATGCCATCTATACAGATTTTTCAAAGGCTTTCGACAAGGTTAGCCACACTCTGCTTTTGGGAAAGCTTGAGAGGTATGGTGTGTTTGGCAATCTCCTGCAATGGTTCCATAGTTATCTGACCAACAGAAAACAACAGGTGAAAGTAGGCAGTTTTGTTTCTGAAGAGATATTGGTCCCCTCTGGCGTTCCGCAAGGTTCACATTTGGGTCCACTTTTATTTAATATTTTCATCAATTATGTAACAGAGTGCTTGAAATATTCCAAATGTCTTTTGTATGCAGACGACCTAAAGATTTTCAGAGTTATTGAACATTTGAATGATTGTTTGAAAATCCAAGAAGATTTAAATGCTTTGAGTGAATGGTGTAATAGAAATGGAATGACATTATATGTCGATAAATGTTTTATTGTAAGGTTTTATAGATTGAAAAATATTATTGAATTCGATTATACCCTAGATAATACTTCTCTTAAAAGTAAAGAAGAGCTAAGAGACCTAGGTGTTTTTTTTGACAGTAGCTTGAGTTTCAACTTTCATGTTAACTATATAACTAATAGAGCATTAAAATTGCTGGGTTTTGTTAAAAGAACTCTGCAAGACTTTAGTAGTATTGATTGCATTAGAACTCTATTTTGCTCTTACATAAGGTCAATTTTGGAATATGCTTGTCAGGTTTGGTCTCCTTACTATGGTCAGTATGTTCAACAGATTGAAAGAGTGCAGAAGAGGTTTGTGAAGTTTGTTGGGTTTAAATTGGGTATATAAAGTGAGAATATTGTATATGAAGAAATACTTAACTCCCTTAATCTTACAACTCTCAGCAATAGGAGAAAATATATTGATATGAGAACCCTATATAAAATCTTAAACGGCTACATAGACTGTCCAGAATTGCTATCTTTGTTAGGGCTTAAAGTGCCACAGAGAAATCTGAGAGGGGTGAACCTGTTTAATGTTCCATTTCATAGAACGAATTATGGTTTATCTTCATCTCTGACACGCTTTTCAGATAGTGCAAATAAATTGCTTGCAAATGGTGATGTAGACATCTTTAATGATTCTTTAAATCTGTTTGGCGCAAAAATAAATAATATCCTGTGATCAAGCCTGTGATACCTATAAACTAGTTTTATCGAATTTTAATCTTTTAACTTGTACTTATTTTCTATTTATTTTTTAACAAATTTAATTTTTGAATTGATGTTAGTGTGATGCTGGGGACTGTATTAACTGATTTAACTGATATGTCTATATGTTATATTGTTTGATTATTGTATTTTTGATGCTTATTTTTAGTATTAGTCCAATTTCTGTAAATGGCTGGTCCGTTAATAAACATTTATTTATTTATTTATTTAAGACGTTTTGGACAGCACTTCAACTAATATGAAGATATATAATGTTACCTGAGTGCCACAAAATAGACAAGGTCCAGGTCCTTCCTGGACACAATGAATCCTGCCACAATCCAGACAATTATTCATAAATTCGTGCTCCTGCCCCAAACAATCGCAGGCGTGCCGACCCTGCCTTTCCCTTTTCTGCTCCTGAAACTCTCTGATATCCTTGAATTTCTTTTTGCCTTTTTTGCTCTGAGTCTCTTTGCCTTTTTCAGGCAAATTAACTTTAATTACATTGCCACTATTGGAAGCTTTTTGTTTAAGTTTCTGGCCAAAAATTATGTATTTGATTGCGTTGTAGGCGTTGACGTGATCTGAATTGGTCTTGTTCACGATATTTTCCATGAATTCTTCATAATCTTCTTCGTTTTTCATGGAAATAATGTAACTGTAAAAACATATGGAATAAGGTTTTAGGGGGGCTAGAATTCTGGATACTTACGTGGCTATGTTTACATCAATGTCTGGACCCAAAATCACTTTTAAATGATTCATCATTTGTTGCTGTTTGGTTCCCATTTTCGATTTTTTAATAATTTCCAAAAGGGTTTTTAATTTTTGGAAAAAATAAACAAATTCAAATTATTACAGCTGACCAGCCCTTTAAAAGAAGGATAAAGAAGAAATCTTTTTTATTTTCATATTTTTTTCTCGCTCTTTGTCGGCTAGAAAGACAAGGATAGAAATCAAAAACAGTCTGTCATAATCACAACATACATAACCTCACATTTTTATTTAAACATAGCATAAACCCTAAGCATAAACCACAAACAAACAATCTTTAAAATTTAAATATTTAGTAATTTTCTAATAATAAATTATTTATTGATAATAGCAATAATTATGAATCCATCTTTATACAACGACATAGTTATCGTAATGCGAACCTTTAGCGGGTTATCAACAAATTGTGCCAGAAAATTACAAGAAACGTTTCCAAAGTAAGTTAAATTCCTCAAAAAAACTGTTTTTTTTTTCTACTAGCTGCATGCACGCTGGGAGTAACGACAAAAATAAGTTACTTTACTTTAACGAGTTACTGAAAGTAACGCGTTACTTGGTAACTTCGTTACTTTTCAGATTGATAAGTAACTGTAACGACGTTACTTTCCTGAAGTAACTCTGGAAGTAACGCGTTACTAGTTACTATGAAAGTAACTCGTTCTCTCAATTCGTTTATCTTCTTTACAAATAATTGGCGAGTGAGGAAAAGGAAAATAAGTAATTTAAAAACTTTGTATGTCAAATAAAACGAACGAAATTAAACTTAGACGAGCTTCAGTACAAAAAACTGAGATCAGAATCAAAAACCTCGATAAAGAGGGACTACGATTCCTTCGTCCAAACTGCTCAAAATAATATTTTGAATAACATTAAAGCGTTCTGGTCTTACATAAAGTCTCAACGTAATTCTGTCAGTTATCCTGCGAAAATGACTTTCAATAACGCTGACTCTAGTGATCCCAAAGTCATCGCGGATTTTTTCGCAGATTTTTTTCAGTCTACATTCACAGTTTCTGATCCCGCAATCACTATTAACCCATTACGTTTTTATATTAATAATGTTGTCCTTTCAACTATCAGAGTTAACTGCGACATTGTGCTCCAAAAACTTATTGGATTGGATGAAAAAAAAGGAGCAGGACCAGATGACATACCCCCAATCTTCGTAAAAAATTGTTGTCCGACCCTGACATCTCCACTTAACACCCTATTTCAACTCTCTCTCAGCTCTGGAAAATTTCCGGACCTCTGGAAGACTGCCATCGTAACTGCTATTTTCAAAGGTGGTGAGAGGGGAAATGTCGCTAACTACCGCCCAATTTCGGGCCTGGATTGCATGGCCAAGGTTTTCGAGTCCATAGTAAATGATGAGCTTTTGTCAACTCTATACAACTGCCTCTCTGAAAATCAGCACGGCTTCCTGTCCGGTCGCTCATGCCAGACAAATTTATGCCTTTACTTTCAATACGTGTCTGCAGCTATTGACTCAGGGGACCAGGTCGACTCAGTTTATTTCGACTTTAGAAAGGCTTTCGACAGGGTTGACCATCTTATTTTGATCAGCAAACTTGAATCATTTGGCGTCACAGATCCTCTTCTAACATGGATAGCAAGTTACCTTTGTAACCGAACACAATTCGTCAGGTTTGGTGGTTCCATATCAAGAAAAATAATGGTGACATCCGGAGTACCCCAGGGCTCTCATCTAGGTCCTATATTGTTCCTTGTGTTCATTAATGACCTAGCCAACGTACTTACCAACTGCCATTTCCTCCTTTACGCCGACGATCTAAAAATCTTTAGGAAAATCACTAGCAGTCTCGATTGTTCAATTCTACAGCTCGAGATCGATAAAATATCAGAATGGTGCACATCTAATGGAACAGAATTAAACATCTCCGAATGTAAATCAATATCTTTTTCTCGAAAAAAGCGCCCAACATTGCACACCTACTATATTTCAAGTTCTCCGCTCCCCAGAGTAGACCTTATAAATGATCTGGGAGTAATTTTTGATTCCCAATTAAGATTCAACAACCACATAAATCATATCCTGTCCAAAGCTTTCAAAATGGCAGGGTTTATAATGCGAAGATGCTGGGAGTTTTCTAATGTCGAGGTACTAAAATCTCTCTATTTTTCGTTGGTGCGAAGTCACCTTGAGTATTGCTGCGTGATCTGGTCACCATATTACCAAATCCATATTAAACGCATCGAACGAGTTCAAATGAAGTTTGTTAATTTCCTATTATATAAACTCGGAATCGACAAAAACCTATTTTCCCACCAGGATCGTCTACAAATGCTGAATATACAAAGCCTGGAGATGCGTAGGGTTTTCCTTACACTAACATTCGGTTTCAATATAATTACCTATAACATAAATTGCTCTGATCTCTTAGCACTTATGAACATTCGAATACCATCTGTCAATACACGTTTAAACGACATATTTTTGACTAATAGAAGACGAACCGACGTTGGCAAAAACAGTGCTATGAACCGTATTATGCATCTTTTCAATACATATATTCCGATGAATGTCGATTTCAACTGCACTCCAATCACCTTCAAAAATAAGTTGAGATCGATATTGGCTCAATGATTTCAGACAATTCACTTGGAAAATTTACCTCTCTAATTGGTTGCAACTCCGATGTATGGGCGTGGACATTTATTTACTTAACCCTTCACTTATTAATTTATTATGTGTTTATTAATATAATTATAGACCTAGTATATAAGTTATACCATTTGGAGCTTCCTCTGTTGTGTATTATATTAAATAAATAAATAAATAAATAAATAAATAAATAAAAATGTTGGTAGTACAGAAAATTTGTTTCGAAAGCTCAAAATAATCGTTTTTGGCCGTACCACGCGCCGCCTCTGCTCTAAAGACACTATATGCAGACACTGGGACGCTTCAAAGAGCAGGTTTGTCCAAAACCAAGTGCTCTATTCAGTCGCTTAATCCTTAATCCGCTTGAATTTTGCAAGAATACTCTTCCACATAGTCGGACTCACAAACTAAAAACATATTGGCATTTCGTTTAGATCTTATTTGATTGTTTGGACTGCTGTGTTGGTGAGTCAAATTAAGGAATAACGCAAATTTCGACGTAAATAGTTATTTTTGAAGTAACGCGCTACTTTAAAAGTAACGAACTACTTTTAAAGTAAAGAAGTTACTTTCAAAGTAAAGAAGTTACAGTAACGCGTTACTTTCTAATAAGTAGGTAACGAAAATAAAGTTATCATTATTCGAAAGTAACTGTAAATTTTAAGTAACGATTTATTTTTAAGCAAAAGTAACTGTAAAGTAACACGTTACTTTTTTCAAGTAACGATCCCAGCTCTGCGTGCATGATATTGCACTTTTCTGCACGCATTTTAAGTAGTACTTATTAATTTAAATAATTTACAAATTAATAAATTCACATTACATTGCTTAACGTGATTTTATCCCAGAAACTAAAAGTCCAAATGTGCTGAAATTTTCAGGAATTGTAGTCCTCTACTGAGATAAGAATCGCTGAAAGTTGCAGCTTTCTATCTCTAAAAGAAAAAAAATTATGATTTTTCAAAGTTTACAAAAATGTAAATCATAAGTACTTACTAAAATGATAAACTCCATACATTAAATTATTCTGAGATTTAGAGCCGGATTCTATGAAAAAAGGCACTCAGAAAAATTAATGAATCACCCCAAATTGCTCAACACGATTTTATTTCTGGAACTTTAAGTCCAAATGAGCTGAGATTTTCAGGGATTGTAGTCCTCTACTGGGGTTAGAATCGCTGAAAATTTCAGCTTTCTATATCTAATAGAAAAAAAGTTATGACCTTTCAAAATTTTCCAAAATCTAAATCATAAGGTACTTACCTACCTTTTTACTGAAATGATGAAATTTCAAATTTTTTTTGTTGAGATTTTGTGCAGGGACGTAGCAACAGGTCGTGCTGTGCCGCGCACAAAGGCCCAGGGGCCCGATGGGTCCTGTCACTTTTTGGACAGGACACAAGGAAAAAAATCATATCACCACCAAAGATGATACACACTACTACTACAGGATGGCCCGAGGGATGGCCTATCCTCATAAGGCCTGTGTTCTGTGTGTACAGTGGCGCACCCAGGGGGGGGCCATCGGGCCAGGGCCCCCCCCCAGGCCGCCCCTCTAAAACTTTATTTTAAGGTATAAAAAATGTGGCATATTCCAGGTGTGGCACTCTGACACCTCAATTTTTTTTTCTCCAGATTTCCAGTCACAAGCCACAACCTATGTAGTCCCCCCCCCCCCAACATAATTTCTGGGTGCGCCACTGTTCCTGGGAAAAAATCAATAATCAGGCCACAATCTGTATCGTAAAATATCACTTAGTGTCTCTTTGAGATTAAAAAATCGTAGATCCGCTATCTTTGGCTTTTTTCCAATCAAATTTTGGTATGTTTAAGCTAAAAAGCTTCTGTATATATAAAAAAAATTAATCATTTTCCAAAGTTTCCCAGATTTCTAGGAAAAAAATCTAAACTCAGGCCATAGTCTGTATTGTAAAAATATCCCTTAGGATTACACCTTTTCCACATGTAATTGCGAATATAGCAATTTATATTGCGAACTCATCAATTGATTTTGCGAATAGTCAAGTGATATTGCGATTATATTAAATAGTAATTGGGAAAAGTTAAATGTAATTGCGAATATATCAAATGTAATTGAGAAAAGTTAAGTGTAATTGGGAATATTTCAGATGCAATTGAGAATAATCAAATGAAATTTGGAATATATCAAATGTAATTGCGAATTGATCAAATATAATCAAGACATTATCAAATATTTTCTCTGTCGACTCTTTCTCGTCATCGTTGATCTGCATATATCACAATTATTGCGAAATTTCATTTTTGTGTCGCCTTTCTTTTACACAGATCTACCTATATGTATGTAAATAAAAGCTTTCTTCAACAACAGACCTATGTAGTTATTTTAGTAACAACACAGATGTTGATTGGAAAATTAAATGGCTCAATTACATCTGATTTATTATTAATTTTATTTGATAATCCCCAATTACATATGATATATTCGCAATTACACTTAACTATTCTCAATTGCATTTGATGTGTTCGCAAATTATATTTAACTTTTCACAATTACTTTTAATATATTCGCAATATCAAGTGACTATTCTCAATTAGATTTGATTTATTCGCAATATTGTTTTACTATTCCTAAAATTAAGTGATATATTCGCAATTACACATGGAAAAGGTGTAGAGATGTGAGGAGAGAATATTCTCTACTAGAAAATTCTCGCGGTTATACAATTCACTGTACATTATTCCCATATGACACGAGAGGCTTAACAAGTGATAAGTCTTTTGGGATTATCTCGCTTGGTGGCAATATTGTTCATTTGCTATTAATAATAATAAAAATGTATAAAGTATCAAAGTTTAGTTCGTTGTATAACCTTTTGAATACCACTCGATGTTTCAGGATTACCTAATACTTTCACCTGACACTCAACGCGTAACCAGCAACACCACTCCTCCTTCGGAGTCGTGGAGTTGCTGCGTAACGCGTTTCGTGACAGGTAAAAGTATTATCCGGTAATCCTGAAACCTCTTGTGGTATTACATTCGATAACATTCATCCATCTAACCGCGTCGCGTTTACGTAACACGAAACCAATGTTGCCAACTGCTCTTTGCAAAATGACCGGCAAGGAATTCCACCTTTACTTTACTGGCAAATACACTCTTTTTATATTCACATATTCAAATCAGAAATGATGACGTCAAGTTTCAAGACCTTGGCTTGAGAGGGGTCACTCTCGCTAGTTACCATAATAGAATTTCAATTTGTTCATCATATCCTCATGACATGAGTCAGTTATTTTAAATTCCGACATACTAGACAAAGATAGACTGCTCATCAAAAAAAAAAAGATTGCGCCCATAGCAGGAGGAAAAGAAACATTTTCCTTTCTTGTTTAGTGGTTGAAAATGAAAAATTATGACAATTTTGATTTGGTCAACACAAAATTTTAGATTTCAATCTTGGATTTCTGATTTCAATAGGTATTTCTATGTTTTTTATCCCTTATATAACCTGATAATCATAAAGTTGCGTGATAATTGGTATATAGGGTACCTGCATGGAAAATTAAATTGATTATTGTTTATTGCAAACTGTAGGAAATCGAGAAAAAATCGTTACTTTTTTTTAATTTCGCCCAAATATGATTATTCTGGAAGTTATACAAATATTAAGTTTTGTATATATACCTAGATATAACTGAGCATGTGCAACGTCACTAATTTATATGATAAGTGACGTCATAGGCATATTTCATAGCGTTGTATCTCCGTCAATTTTTGACTAAGAAGAAAAAGAAAAAACACGTGTTGACTTATTTTTCATGGACTATCGAAATCAGCAATTAAAAAAATTGATGCAAGTACCCTATTAAGTTGATATTAGTTTAAAAAGGCGTTCTCAGAAAATTCTCAAATTTGAGAATATTCTCGAGAATATTCTGGAGAATATTCTCTTTTTTATTATTCTCGAGAATTTTCCATCTCTACTTAGGACACTTAGTGTCTCTTTGGAATTAAAAAATTCGTAATTTGGTATTTTCTAATCAAATTTTGGTATGTTGAAGCTAAAAAGCTTCTGGATATTTTAAAAAATTCTTCATTTTCCAAAGTTTCCCAGATTTTTAGGAAAAAATCAAAAATCAGGCTATAATCTGTATTGTAAAAATATCACTTGAAGTCTCTCTGGGAGTAAAATATCGTAATTCCGCTATCTTTGGTTTTTCCCTATCAAATTTTGATATGTTAAAGCTAGAAAGCTTCTGGATATTTAAAAAAATTCTTCATTTTCCAAAGCTTCCCAGATTTTTAGGAAAAATATCAAAAATCAGGCCATATTATGTATTGTAAAAATATTACTTAGTGTCTCTCTGGGATTAAAAAAATCGCGACTCCGCTAGGTATCTTTGGTTTTTTTTCTAATCAAATTTTGGTATGGTAAAGCTAAAAGTCTTTTGGATATTTGAAAAAAAAAATCATTTTCCAATATATTTTCAAGTATAAAAAAATGTGACAAATTCAGGGCGTGCACATTTTTTTTTAATTTTCATTCACAGGCACAACCTATGTAGGGCGTAGGGCCTCCCCCCCAAACATATTTTCTGGGTGCGCCACTGTGTGTGTAACAAATCCCCCCTCCCCCGCGCCTAATCACCAGTTGTGACATAGGCAGCATGTTATTTCTCGCCTTGACGTAGGCTGTTTAAACAGCTGACGTCGGAAATGGTGACACACCAATATGACGGCGATTACCAAAAACGAGGCTGATAGGCAATCCTATTCCTGTAGGTGTGTATCATCCTTGTAGTATCACCACATCATGCCCGCCCAAGCAATCATTCTTCGCATTAGCGATTTCTAACCGAAACAGAAAATTGTAATATCGATTTCTACAGATTTCTTTTCAGTCAGGCCTCCAAGTCCCAGTACAAGGTTGTCTGAGAGAGGTAGGCTGCCTGGGCTGGGACTCTGTAACGAATAGAGATATTTTCTCTATCTCCATTGACGTCTCCTCTCTATTGATTTCGACAAGACAGCAAGTGCCATAGCGATAGGGATAACGATCTCTATCCGTTACAGAGTTCCAGCCCTGATAACTTTTATGACGTCATCTGGGGTGCCTCGACATAATGCAAATCCGAAGTTCCTAAAGTTAACAGGTTGTCTGGGTAATGGGTAACTTGATGACGCCTCTGGAGTGCCTTATGGTGATTTGCATTATGTTTAGGCATACAGAGATCTGCAATATTAATGCTCGTTCAAACTGTACTGTTAGTTATAACGTTCTCTTGTGATGTTGCTACGACGCTGAGTATTACCATATTTCTTCTTGTGCAATAAGACCAATCAAATAATAATAATAATAGATCTTTATTTAGCAAAAAACGGCTAATTCACAAAATTTACAGACATGCACAATATACATACACTATAAAAATTGCAATTCTTATTACTTAGGGACTACACAATAATTGTAAATTGTAAAATTAAAATTAACACATCTTGTATAAAAAACAAACAAAAATAAATATAAAAAAAAAACAACTCACATACATAAATTCGATCATTACATGATAATTATTGTCTACCTAGTGAGACTCGTCAAATAGTCTTTTCCTAAGGTTATTTTTAAAGACAATTACAGTACCGAATCTTTTTATTGAATCAGGCAATTTATTATATAATATTAAACCATTATGAAATAGTGCCCTTTCTGTAACCTTTTTATTTTTTTTGGTCACATGCAAATTATTCTGTGACCGTGTTTTATAATTGTGGACGTTGTTATTGTATATATAAGTTTGGAGGACAAATACGATGGAGCTAAAGAATTTTTCATTTTATGTATGAGAATCATAGTTTGGTAGTCCAAATACTGTTCCACTGACAGCCAATTTAAGTAATGAGTGAAGCATGCGTCTAATTGATGTATCCCTAGGTACACGCAAAATTATTCGCATGGCCTTGTTTTGTAATTTCTGCAATCTGTCTTTTTCATTTTTATTTGCCATAAACAGGATGGTAGACGCAAATGTAAGATGAGGCAAAATCAGTACATTATATACCACTTTCCGAGACCACTTGGTTAAAGATGGAGCAATTCTAGCAAAAAAATTGGTGTTTCTGGAGATCTAGATCACCTATGTATGACACATGTTCCTTAAATGTTAACTTCCTGTCAATTATAACTCCAAGATACTTTATTTTACCAACAATTTCTATTTCAGTATTGGCGATTACTATTTTATACTGCTTAAACATATTATACTGTTGGTTATTACCAACAAGCATACATTTAGTTTTTGCTGCATTTAATCTAAGTAGATTTCCATTGCACCACAGTAGTATATTTTGCAGTTCTGTGTTGATGGTGTCAATTAGGTTTTTTAAATTATCTGAACAGAAATACATTAAGGTGTCATCAGCAAACAGATGGATTTTGCAGCTTTTAACTGTAGAAGCAATATTGTTAAGGTATAACAGGAATAGTAGTGGTCCTAGGGTACTCCCTTGTGGAACACCATTATTATTTAAAATCTCTAAGGAATTGTTAGGTACCTATTTCAAATTGTATTTTTTTTTTGTAAAATGGTGAAGAATGATGAATTACGGACCCATTTTAGTCCGTAAAATGCTTCATTTTCGGCCTAGTCCATAAAATGCTCCATTTTTGGCCTACTTCCTGAAAGTCGTCATAACAATCATAAACAAATTATACCTGGCGCACCTGCCACAACAATGCCAATGCGTAATCCAGTTTAAAATTTTTAATGTTGTCACATTCACTTCACATGGTGAAGAGGGCCCGCTGTAGTCTTGCACAAGGGCCCGGTTTTGACTTGATCCCTGATTTTGTGTCCTAATGGTCCTTTGGAATTGGAATCGCCCAGACTCCATACACTAAATTATTCTGAGATTTGGAGCCAGATTCAAATAAGCTGAAATTTTCAGGGATTGTAGTCCTCTACTGAAGTAAGAATCCCTGAGAATTTCAGCTTTCTATCTCTAAAAGACAAAAAGTTGTGATTTTTATATTTTACAAAATTTAAATCGTAAGGTAAGCTACATAAGTACCTAGTCTCGACCTTAGAACTAAAATGATGAAATGTAATTTTTTTTTATGTTGGCTTTTGTATCTAAATGATCCTTGGGGACTCCCCAAACTCCATACACTAAATTATTGTGAGATTTGGAGCCGGATTCTATGAAAAAAGGCACTCAGAAAAATTGAAAAATTGATATAAATCACCCGAAATTACTTAACACGATTTTATCTCAGGAACTATAAGTTCAAATGAGATGAAATTTTCAGGAATTGTAGTGCTCTACTAGGACAAGAATCGCTGAAAATTTCAGCTTTTTATGTATAATAGAAAAAAAGTTGTGACCTTTCAAAGTTTTCCAAAATCTAAATCATAAGGTTCCTTCTTACTAAAACGATGAAATTTCAAAATTTTTTTGTCGAGATTTTGTGTCCCAATGGTCCTTTTGCATCCCCCAAACTCCATACATTGAATTATTCTGAGATTTGGATCCGGATTCTATGAAAAAAGGCACTCAGAAAAATTGAAAAATTGATAAATCACCCCAATTGCTTAACACGATTTCATCTCAGGAACTATAATTCCAAGTGAGCTGAAATTTCCAGGGATTGTTGTCTTCTACTGGGATAAGAATCGCTGGAAATTTCAGCTTTCTATTTATGATACAAAAAAAGTTATGATTATTTAAAAATTCATGTCCAAAGGGGGGGATTTTCCTTCTAAAATGGTCAAATTTCAAGTTTTTTCCGAGGTTTTTTCTGTGGAAATCTCAATTAGGACCCTAGAAACTGTATTATACATTGATTTATTGTGGGGTTTGAAGCCGAAATCTTTAAAAAAAAGAACCTCAGGAGAATTGAAAAATCCAAAAATTTAGCCCAAATGCCATAACGCGATTTTTTCTCAGGAACTATGAGTACAAATAAGCTGGAATTGTCAGGAATTGTAGTCCTCTACTAGAATAAAAATCAATGAAAATTTCAGCCTTTTATCTACATAGATAGGTATAATTCTCGGTATAATTAGAATTAGAAATATGAGTTTTTCAAAACTAATATACTGTTTATGTTTTTTCCAGTATAAGTACCGATACACTCTACAGTATTTTATGTTTGGAATACCAAAGAAAAATGAAATGTAATTACGGAAAAAGTCAAAGCAATCGCAATAGATACTGGGATCTATTTAACAAAGGCTTGAAAACCCAAGACCGACCAGGAATCCTCTTAAAACTATCAGAAATGTTCGATATCCCCCCTTGTTTGATGGCCAAACTAATTTTGCAAAAATACTTTGACGACCAAGACGAATCATCATCAACAGTAAATGTTAATAATTACTTAAAAAATACTTATACGATTCCAGATGCTGAAATCGCTTACGAAGTATTCCTTGTATGTTATCAAAATCAAAAATAAATCAAAATTTACTATTGCTTTCATTTTAGTGTACAGTCTTTGACAATCTATACAGCCCAATAGCTGACGCAATGAAAATGTCCCTGGGTCAACAATACGAAATAAAACTCCACAAAGAAGCAATCCAACTAGGCCTAGCTTTTCGTGACGAAGAATACCTAAGAAAATCCGGCTACGACAAAACACCAGATTTGAAACTCGAAGTCCCAGTAGCTATAGACGGTTTTGTTATCAACTGGATTGAAAGCAAAGCCCTGTTTGCTGACGAGGAAGTGCACAAAGACTACATGAAAAGTCAGTATTTGAGTTACTGGAATCGATTCGGACCAGGGTTGGTTATTTATTGGTTTGGGTATTTGAGAACTATTGTGGAACCTTCGGATAAGCGGTTTATTATACGGGAGGATTTGCCTAAGAATGTTAAGAAGGTTTTGTATGGGTATACTTCATCAGCAACTGGTATACAATAAAGATTTTTTTTTTTTTTTTCAATTTATTATTATTATAATTATTATAAGGTCCTTTATTCAATTATTTATGTACTTATGTATTTTGCAAATAAAAATGTCTTCCCATATTTACAGTCTCATATCCTTCTATTTTTTATTTTGATTGATAATTTAAAAATGTCAAAAACACCCAAAATTTTGACAGTGAAAATGTCAATTTAATTTCAAAATGAGACGTTTTCAACAAGCTAAAAGTTTTTTAAAACTTTTTCAAAGATTCTATTGCTGTAAACCACCAGAAAGTATAAAAGTCGATGTGGAAAAGACAGTAGTTTCAGTAGAAAAAGAAGTAAAAGCGGATATTTCAGAAGAATGTGCCAAGTTCGAAGAGCAAGTTGTGAAACAGGCCTTGCTCGAGAAAGAACAAGACGCATCTTTGCAAAGTCGTTTGGCCAAAGATTGTAAATTGTTATTTAGTAAATCGTCCAAGCAATTGACTATTAAACAGTTCAGCGAGATACGTTTAGATGAAATGGTTCTTCCAAAAGGTAACAATAATTTAGGATCTCAAAAAACATACTTGTAAACCCATATTTGTGACATTTACGTGAAGCATAGACTAACGTAAAGTTTATATAAATTTGAGATATCAGCACTAGTTTCATGTCAAGTGTATGTAATTTCTATGTAAACTAAAGGTTTCTACCGCGAATCTTATGTAAATACCAAGGAGCAAACCACCAAATTCTTTACCAAAAATGTAGGGAATTTAGAGGAATTTGTGAGGAATTTGTAGGAACTCATCCGAATTTATGAGACTTTGGGAAATTTATAGGGAATTTATGAGAAATTCAGGAGAATTTGTGAGGAATTAAAAGGAAATTCTCAAATTTAAAAAATTCAAAAGAATAATGAATAGGTACAGTTTTTGTAGGTTGATTTCCAAGATTTTACATGTTACTGTTTTCCACTAGAAAATTTTGAAATTTTGTAAAAATGAGCTTCTCACCTTCCTATTTACATGCAAAAAGTTTCAAAATTTTGCCTTCACTAGTTTTCTAGAAAATAATTGAAATATGAGAGACTGTATTTTCAATTAATTCAGTTTTTGTAGGTTGATTTCCAAGATTCCTCATGTTGTAATTTTCTACTGGAAAATTTGAAATTTTGGGAAAATGAGCTTCTCATCTTTTTCTTTACATGCAAAAAGTTTCCAAATTTTTCCTTCTCTAGTTTTCCAGGAAAACTTTGATATGTGTGAGACTGTATTTTCAATTAATTCAGTTATTGTAGGTTGATTTCCAATATTCCTCATGTTGTTATTTTCCACTTAAAAAATTTGAAATTTTGGGAAAATGAGCTTCTCACCTTCCTATTTACATGCAAAAAATTTCAAAATTTTTCCTTCTCTAGTTTTCCAGGAAAACTTTGATATGTGTGAGACTGTATTTTCAATTAATTCAGTTATTGGTTATCGTAGGTTGATTTCCAATATCCCTCATGTTGTTATTTTCCACTAGAAAAATTTGAAATTTTGTAAAAATGAGCTTCTCATCTTCTTATTTACATGCAAAAAAGTTTCAAAGTTTTCCCTTCACTAGTTTTCCAGGAAAACTTTGAAATGTGTGAGACTGTATTTTCAATTAATTCAGTTTTTGTAGGTTGATTTCCAAGATTTTTCATATTGCTGTTTTCCACTAGAAAATTTTGAAATTTTGTAAAAATGAGCTTCTCACCTTCCTATTTACATGCAAAAAGTTTCAAAATCTTCCCTTCACCAGTTTTCCAGGAAAACTTTGAAATGTGTGAGACTGTATTTTCAACTACCTAATTCAGTTTTTGTAGGTGGACTTCCAAGACTTTTCATGTTGCTGTTTTCTAATAGAAAAATTTGAAATTTTGGGAAAATGAGTTTCTTACCGTCCTATTTACATGCAAAAAGTTTCAAAATTTTCCCTTCACCAGTTTTCCAGGAAAACTCTGAAATATGTGGGATTGTATTTTCAATTAATTCAGTTATTGTAGGTTGATTTCCAATATTCCTCATGTTGTTATTTTTCACTGAAAAAATCTGAAATTTTTGGGTAAATGAGCTTCTCACCTTCTCCTTCACATGCAAAAAGTTTAAAAAATTTTCCTGTAGGTATTAGTTTTCTAGGAAAACTTTAAAATATGTGAGACTGTATTTTCAATTAATTCAGTTATTGTAGGTTGATTTCCAATATTCCTCATGTTGTTATTTTCCACTTAAAAAATTTGAAATTTTGGGAAAATGAGCTTCTCACCTTCCTATTTACATGCAAAAAATTTCAAAATTTTTCCTTCTCTAGTTTTCCAGGAAAACTTTGATATGTGTGAGACTGTATTTTCAATTAATTCAGTTATTGGTTATTGTAGGTTGATTTCCAATATCCCTCATGTTGTTATTTTCCACTAGAAAAATTTGAAATTTTGTAAAAATGAGCTTCTCACCTTCCTATTTACATGCAAAAAAGTTTCAAAGTTTTCCCTTCACCAGTTTTCCAGGAAAACTTTGAAATGTGTGAGACTCTATTTTCAATTAATTCAGTTATTGTAGGTTGATTTCCAAGATTTTTCATGTTGCTGTTTTCCACTGGAAAATTTTGAAATTTTGTAAAAATGAGCTTCTCACCTTCCTATTTACATGCAAAAAGTTTCAAAATTTTCCCTTCACCAGTTTTCCAGGAAAACTCTGAAATATGTGGGATTGTATTTTCAATTAATTCAGTTATTGTAGGTTGATTTCCAATATTCCTCATGTTGTTATTTTCCACTGAAAAAATTTGAAATTTTGGGAAAATGAGCTTCTTACCAGTGGCGACGCGTGAATATTGCAGTCGGGGGGGGGGGGTAATGGGAAGATGCGACCCCTCGCTAACGCGCCGCAGGCAAAATTTTTTGCAACTTCAATATTATTATGTATTTTCTTTTGGGCCTCGTGATTTTTCCCTTGATTATTGGATCCTGGGGGGGGGGGGGGGGGTAATTACCCCCCCGACGCGACGCCCCTGCTTCTTACCGTCCTATTTACATGCAAAAAGTTTCAAAATTTTCCCTTCACCAGTTTTCCAGGAAAACTCTGAAATATGTAGGACTGTATTTTCAATTAATTCAGTTATTGTAGGTTGATTTCCAATATTCCTCATGTTGTTATTTTCCACTGAAAAAATTTGAAATTTTGGGAAAATGAGCTTCTTACCTTCCTCTCTACATGCAAAAAGTTTCAAAATTTTCCCTTCACTAGTTTTCCAGGAAAACTTTGAAATGTGTGAGACTGTATTTTCAATTACCTACCTAATTCAATTTTTGTAGGTGGACTTCCAAGACTTTTCATGTTGCTGTTTTCTACTGGAAAAATTTGAAATTTTCGGAAAATGAGCGTCTCACCTTCCTATTTAAATGCAAAAAGTTTCAAAATTTTCCCTTCACCAGTTTTCCAGGAAAACTCTGAAATATGTGGGACTGTATTTTCAATTAATTCAGTTATTGTAGGTTGATTTCCAATATTCTTCATGTTGTTATTTTCCACTAGAAAAATTTCAAATTTTGAGAAAATGAGGTTCTCACTTTCCTCTTTACACGCAAAAAGTTTCAAAATGTTTCCTTCACTAGTTTTCCAGGCAAACTTTGAAATATGTGAGACTGTATTTTCAATTAATTCAATTATTGTAGGTTGATTTCCAAGATTTTTCATGTTGCTGTTTTCCACTGGAAAGTTTTGGGAAAATGAGCTTCTCACCTTCCTCTTTACATGCAAAAAGTTTCAAAATGTTCCTTTCACTAGTTTCCTAGGAAAACTTTGAAATGTGGGAGACTGTATTTTCAATTAATCCAGTTTATTTAGGTTAATTTGCAAGATTTTTCATGTTGCTGTTTTCCACTGCACTGGAAAACTTTTAAATTTACGGAGAATGATCTTCTCACCCTTCTCTTTACATGCAAAAAGTTTCAAAGTTTTCCCTTTTTTTAGAGGAATTTGTGGGGTATTTGGAGAAGTTCGTGATGGGGTATCTGGAGGAATTTGCAGGAATTTTGAGGAATTATGTGAAAAATATTCCCCTTTGAGGAATTGTTTGCATCAATTCTGGGATGGTGGTTTACCCCTTGGTAAATACTGGTAATATTTATGTAAAATTTACTCGAGCAGGAAACCAGAAAAGCTATCTAATTTAAATTTTACCTAAATTGTGACTTGAAAAAACTTTTAAGAAATTATATAATTAGATAAAATAGTTACGTAAATATCTACCTTAAATTTATGTTACTGGGAATATTTTTTCAGATGCAACAGAATCACCCAAATCTGGAAGCTTCGAGCTTTACTTGAAAGATATGGATCTACAACAAACCCTTGAAACCTCACCAGCTCCAAAAGATGTCACAACAGACAAAATTACTGTAGTTGATAGTAGCGGAGGAAAAAAGATGTCTGATGGGAACAGACCAATACGACAAGAGCCAGGAAAAGTATTCTACCTATTATTTATCAATTTCCAAGACTAACATTAAAATTTAGGTCCTACTAACATTCATCCCACAAGAATGGTGGTACGCTCTGATGCCAAAAACAGGCGTTACAGGCCTAGGCACGTTCTTTTTCACTTTTGCCACTTACTTGGTCAGCAAAGAGCATTACGTGCTCGAACATTACTACTATCACGGACTCAGCGTTTTAGTAATTTGGGTGTGCGGCATCAAATACCTCGGACCGACATTAGCCAAATATCTCGATAAGGAAGTGGATGCTTATGAAGCGGCTTGGAACGAAGATAGAGTGAAGCAAAAAGAATATTTCAGCGAGAGCATTATAAATGAGCTACATTTGCAATTTCAAATGGATGGTCAGCTAATGATTACTGATGTTAAAAGGGAGAATGTACAGTTGCAACTTGAAGAAGAGTATAGAAAAAGACTAATGTACGCTTATAACGAAGTAAAAAATCGCTTGGATTATCATGTGGCAGTGGAATTAATAAGGGAAAGGATTCAACATAGGAATCTGATTGAGTATGTTACTGCTGAGGTGACAAAGGCAATAACGCCCGAAATGCAAGACAAACTAATTTATTACTCGATTGATCGTATAGTTGAAGATTTAGCTAAAATTACAGAGAAAAAATAATTATTTTTAATCAATAAAACTACCTTTTGTTAAATAATAACATGCACTTTTATTTTAACTTAGGAGAAAATTGTATCAACTTGAAGGCCTTAGTTCAATTAAAAAAGTATTTACAATAATTAAAACTTCAGATCAGGAAATCTACTTCTTACATGCAAACAGAAATTATTATTTTAACTTAAATTAAAAATATCGGAGATTAATAAATATTTTTACAAAAATACGATGTCAAATTTTGCTGTAATAAAGTGATCTACACCTTCAAATAATGAATATGGAATAGCTTAAAAAAAAATAATACTAATTGACTCTAGGTCTTTTTGCTTTTGGTTCAGGATTGTCCAGCATCAGCTCTTCGGGTACTTCGAGGCCCAATTCGTAAGCTTTTTTAGCCAAGTAGCTCAGTAATTTGTAGCCGCATCTGAAATAAGATTCAAATAATTTTTATTTTTGCTAGATTCAATCAGTTACTTGTAGACTTCGTCCGAGCTGGAATTGTAAGTGTTACAATTGTTAAAAACGAGCACCACGTCTCTCATCAGTTGCGAATCCGTACTGTATTTGCCCATGTTTAATTTGTACTTGATTGTACCGAAATCCATGGGTTCTTTTATGATATCGTAATAGTCAGGAACCTAGAAAGAAAATACAAATTGAATGTGCAATAATAATTTAGTATTGAAGTTGTGATATTTATTTCCACTTGGATCCTCTTCCTTTTTTTTTTTTTTTTTGGTAAAAGTTTCAAGATTCTAAATTTGAAAGCCTGAACAATTCAAGATTTTCCAAAATTGTACATATTAATCTTTAACACTTTATAACTTTTTAGAAAATTATCGTAAGTTGCTGAAACCTTCAGGGTTTGTAGAAAATTTCAAAGGTTTTCAGATGAACTATTTAAAGACTTTCAACTATATCAGTAACTTGTTGAGAAACACCTAAATAGTCAAATTTAATTGAAAATTGCTTACTTCCTTTTGTTGAACAGGCCTCAAAAATGGCCAAGCTGCTTCATACCTCATGATATCTGATAAAAGTTCTTGTAAAGCTGCATTGTGCAACGGCAAGTCCTTACTTTCATCTCGTCTCATTGGTCTTTTGATAATAACCTCATTGTCAGAATTGTCTAGAACGAAAAGACATTATAATGATTAATCAATGTTTGGAGAAAAATTAGAAAAAACAACGAGCATGTTATAATTATTGTGGCTTCTTGATAATGTGAACAATCATATTTGTAAGGACAAAGTGACTCCCTTGAAATAGAATTGTCCAAGGAGGTTCAAGAATAGACAAGTATTGTCTCACATTATCAAAGTTGTACCAGCATTAGTAAGCACTAATTTTCCAAACCCAAAAAGAAAAAAATCATGCTTAATTTAAAGAAAAAAATGACAGCACCAGACAATATAATGAGTAAATTAAAATGATTCAATTTGCAAGCCAGCAAGGTGCAATAACGATTCTACAACAATTAATCGACTGACCGTCATCAGTACTTGAATCAGGCGTATCGTCGTTGTTGGAAACGCGCAGGACTTTGGCGAATGCGTGGATCTTGCGGCTGGCTTTCGCTGCGCAAAGTCTTCTGCTATACGTAATTCCTGCATTGAACTAAGTTACTACAATTGCCTGGTAGGCTTAAAACTAAACATACCTGAACCGCTGTAGCCATTTTTCCCTTTACCAGAACAACTTGGGCAAGACCACGGACCCCTCGGCAGTCTTCTAAGAGGAGGCGCAACACACTCTTTGTGGAAACTGAAGTCGCATTTTTCGCACTTGATCATTTCGCCACCTGACCCGCAGGTTTTGCACTGTTGTTCTTCTCTAAAAATTTTTTAAATAATTAAATTTCAATTATAATATTAATACAACTCACATAATATTATTGTCTTCATATTCTTCTTCGTTTCCTTTTTCTGAATCGCTTATTTCTTCTTCCTCTCCAACTTCTTCATCCTCGATGTCTTGTTCTTCTTCTTCGTCAGCTTCTTCTTCCACTTCAACGAAAATGCGTCGTCTCTTTTTCTCTGGTTCCGGACTCAAAAGTTGTTCTTCTTTTTCTTTTTGTTTTTTGCACTTGTCGCAGAACCAGTCGCCTTGAGGTATGACCTGCATTGATTGAAATGTGATTAAACAGGATCCAATTATTGTTTTATTTGTTTCAAAGATGTATTTTTTAATGAAAATTGGTTTTCATTCAATCAGCTTGAAAATTTACTAAAACATGCTTTAAACTTTCGTTTAACTCCTCTTTAAATTGCAAGTTGATACTTGAATCAGTTTATGAATAAAAAAAATCATTTACAGCCTTGTGTCTAAATTATTGGAAAATTCCCTGTCTCACAAAACTATAGCAAGCTGTATTTTTCAAAGTATTCACTCAAGCAACTTGAAAATTTACTAAAACATGCTTCAAACCTTCCTTTCACTCCTTTCCAAATTGCAAATTCATACTTGAAACCGTTCATGAATGAAAAAATAATTTACATCCTAGTGTCTAAATTATTGAATAATTCCCTGTCTCACCAAACTATAGCAGGATGTATTTTTGAAAGTTTTCACTCAAGCAACTTGAAAATTTATTAAAACGTGCTTTAAACCTTCCTTTCACTCCTTCTCAAAATGCAAATCCATACTTGAAACCGTTCATGAGTGAAAAAAATAATTTACATCCTAGTGTCTAAATTATTGAAAAATTCCCTCTCACAAAACTACAGCAGGCTGTCTTTTTCAAAGTTTTCTTTCAAGCAACTTGAAAATTTACTAAAACGTGCTTTAAACCTTCCTTTCACTCCTTTCCAAATTGCAAATTCATACTTGAAACCGTTCATGAGTGAAAAAATAATTTACATCCTTGTGTCTAAATTATTGAAAAACTCCCTGTCTCACAAAACTATAGCAAGCTATCTTTTCCAAAGTTTTCGCTCAAGCAACTTGAAAATTTACTAAAACGTGCTTTAAACTTTCCTTTCACTCCTTTCCAAATTGCAAATTCATACTTGAAACCGTTCATGAGTAAAAAAATAATATACATCCTAGTGTCTAAATTATTGAAAAGGTCCCTATCTCACAAAACTACAGCAGGCTGTATTTTTCAAAGTTTTCACTCAAGCAACTTCAAAATTTACTAAAACGTGCTTTAAACCTTCCTTTCACTCCTTTCCATATTGCAAATTCATACTTGAAACCGTTCATGAGTGAAAAAATAATTTACATCCTTGTGTCTAAATTATTGAAAAATTCCCTGTCTCACAAAACTACAGCAGGCTGTATTTTTCAAAGTTTTCTCTCAAGCAACTTGAAAATTTACTAAAACGTGCTTTAAACCTTCCTTTCACTCCTTTCCAAATTGCAGATTCATACTTGAAACCGTTCATGAGTAAAAAAATAATTTACATCCTAGTGTCTAAATTATTGAAAAATTCCCTGTCTCACAAAACTACAGCAGGCTGTATTTTTCAAAGTTTTCTCTCAAGCAACTTGAAAACTTACTAAAACGTGCTTTAGATCTTCCTTTCACTCCTTTCCAAATTGCAGATTCATACTTGAAACCGTTCATTAGTAAAAAAATAATTTACATCCTTGTGTCTAAATTAATGAAAAAGTCCCTGTCTCACAAAACTATAGCAAGCTATCTTTTCCAAAGTTTCCACTCAAACAACTTGAAAATTTACTAAAACGTGCTTTAAACCTTCCTTTCACTCCTTTCCAAATTGCAAATTCATACTTGAAACCGTTCATGAGTAAAAAAATAATATACATCCTAGTGTCTAAATTATTGAAAAGTTCCCTGTCTCACAAAACTACAGCAGGCTGTATTTTTCAAAGTTTTCTCTCAAGCAACTTGAAAATTTACTAAAACGTGCTTTAAACCTTCCTTTCACTCCTTTCCAAATTGCAGATTCATACTTGAAACCTTTCATGAGTAAAAAAATAATTTACGTCCTAGTGTCTAAATTATTGAAAAATTCCCAGTCTCACAAAACTACAGCAGGCTGTATTTTTCAAAGTTTTCTCTCAAGCAACTTGAAAACTTACTAAAACGTGCTTTAAATCTTCCTTTCACTCCTTTCCAAATTGCAAATTCATACTTGAAACCGTTCATGAGTGAAAAAATAATTTACGTCCTAGTGTCTAAATTATTGAAAAATTCCCTGTCTCACAAAACTACAGCAGGCTGTATTTTTCAAAGTTTTCACTCAAGCAACTTGAAAATTTACTAAAACGTGCTTTAAACCTTCCTTTCACTCCTTTCCAAATTGCAAATTCATACTTGAAACCGTTCATTAGTAAAAAAATAATTTACATCCTTGTGTCTAAATTATTGAAAAATTCCCTGTCTCACAAAACTATAGCAACCTGTCTTTTTCAAAGTTTTCTTTCAAGCAACTTGAAAATTTACTAAAACGTGCTTTAAACCTTCCTTTCACTCCTTTCCAAATTGCAAATTCATACTTGAAACCGTTCATTAGTAAAAAAATAATTTACATCCTTGTGTCTAAATTAATGAAAAAGTCCCTGTCTCACAAAACTATAGCAAGCTATCATCTTTTCCAAAGTTTCCACTCAAACAACTTGAAAATTTACTAAAACGTGCTTTAAACCTTCCTTTCACTCCTTTCCAAATTGCAAATTCATACTTGAAACCGTTCATGAGTAAAAAAATAATATACATCCTAGTGTCTAAATTATTGAAAAGGTCCCTATCTCACAAAACTACAGCAGGCTGTATTTTTCAAAGTTTTCACTCAAGCAACTTGAAAATTTACTAAAACGTGCTTTAAACCTTTCTCTCACTCCTTTCCAAATTGCAAATTCATACTTGAAACCGTTCATGAGTAAAAAAATAATATACATCCTAGTGTCTAAATTATTGAAAAGTTCCCTGTCTCACAAAACTACAGCAGGCTGTATTTTTCAAAGTTTTCTCTCAAGCAACTTGAAAATTTACTAAAACGTGCTTTAAACCTTCCTTTCACTCCTTTCCAAATTGCAGATTCATACTTGAAACCTTTCATGAGTAAAAAAATAATTTACGTCCTAGTGTCTAAATTATTGAAAAATTCCCTGTCTCACAAAACTACAGCAGGCTGTATTTTTCAAAGTTTTCTCTCAAGCAACTTGAAAATTTACTAAAACGTGCTTTAAACCTTCCTTTCACTCCTTTCCAAATTGCAGATTCATACTTGAAACCTTTCATGAGTAAAAAAATAATTTACGTCCTAGTGTCTAAATTATTGAAAAATTCCCTGTCTCACAAAACTACAGCAGGCTGTATTTTTCAAAGTTTTCTCTCAAGCAACTTGAAAATTTACTAAAACGTGCTTTAAACCTTCCTTTCACTCCTTTCCAAATTGCAGATTCATACTTGAAACCGTTCATTAGTAAAAAAATAATTTACATCCTTGTGTCTAAATTAATGAAAAAGTCCCTGTCTCACAAAACTACAGCAGGCTGTATTTTTCAAAGTTTTCACTCAAGCAACTTGAAAATTTACTTAAACGTGCTTTAAACCTTCCTCTCACTCCTTTCCAAATTGCAAATTCATACTTGAAACCGTTCATGAGTGAAAAAATAATTTACATCCTTGTGTCTAAATTATTGAAAAATTCCCTGTTTCACGAAACTATTTCAAGCTGTATTTTTTAAAGTTTTCACTCAAGCAACTTGAAAATTCACTTCATTCATGCTTCAAACTTCCCTTTCATTTCTCTCCAAATTGCAAATTAATATTTGAAACGGTTCACGAGGAGAAAAATAATTTACATCCTTGTGTCTAAATTATTGAAAAATTCCCTGTATCACCAAACTATATCAGGCTGTATTTTTTGAAGTTTTCACTCAAGCAACTCGAAAATTTACTAAAACGTACTTCAAACCTTCCTTTCACTCCTTTCCAAATTGCAAATTCATACTAGAAACAATTCATGAGTGAAAAAAAAATCATTTACATCCTTGTGTAAATTATTGAAAAATTCCTTGTCTATCTGGAGTTTTCACTCGAGCAACTTGGAAATTTACTAAAACATGCTTCAAACCTTTCATTCAGTTCTTTCCAAATTGCAAATTAAGACTCGAAACAGTTTGATAAGTAAAATGATCATTTACATTTTTGTCTAAGTTATTGAAAATCCATAGAATCATCCAGCCTACTTGCTTTCATAAAACCTTTATTATGAGAGTCCGATCAAATGAAGCACCTAAAAGGGGGACACAATAAATCTATGCAGTATAACAATATCTCCAATTCATTCATTCAACCACCCTATCATCAAAAAACCAAAAGTTCCTTACTGTCAATTTAGGTTTCAGACAATACAAGTGATGTCCCAAATTGCACGAATCGCACAAAAGCATATTTTCGGAATCCCTCTGTCGTCTGCAAACCTGACACCTGGCTAGCAAAGCGGATCGCGACCACATTACGCAAGAATCCAACGTCCCGTAATGTAAAAAGACTTGACTGAAGCTGGTGGCGGCCAGCAGGGACTGTTGCCACTTTTCCAAAACGTCGTGGGGCTCCTTGTGTTTGTTGCTAGGTCTGACGTCCGCGTGTCCCAAAGGTCTTTTCATGTATTTGTATTCCACTCCGTCTGCGACGTGCCAAAGGGCGGTGGCTAGGCATTTTATTGCTCTTTGTACGGTTTCTTGTTGAACAACTGGTGATTTGTTATCGGTTGATTCAAGGGTTGCACCTAAATATCTTCCTGGATCGTGGTATTCTTTGTCTTCTTTTTTTTCGGGGATTTCAGGTGTGTTAGACCTGCTGTGGTCCTTGTCAGAAGTTTTAACTTTTAAATGTTTATTGGTTTTTTCAATTTGTAACGTTTCAAATTCATCATAGTTTCTGGTATGCAAGCAACTTCTCCACTTTTCTCTGTCTTTGAATTCTAACGCGCCTAAACCTCCACTGTTGATTTTTTCTTCTAATTCTAAAATGTTTTCTATTAGGGCACTTTCCAAAACCTCCTCTGAACTCATCTCAGATGGGTAACCTAAATTGGCTTCCTCATATTTATCTTTTTTCTTCCTTAGAGGTCTATTTTCTTCTGCTTCTTCCTGCTTGACTACAATGTCAGGATTTAAAATCGAAACTGGCGTTTTGGCTATTAAGCTTGTTAAACCATCTTCGTCAGATGTTAGAGTTTCTCTTAGTTCTGATTCTCTAATGCCTCGTTTGTTGAGTGAATTAATGAGTTGCTCGAGTTGTTCTTTTTCATGGAAAAATGACCACGTCTGTTTTGGTTTGAAATTTACATTGTGCACTGGACAATTTGTTGGATCAGCAGTGCAAAGAAGTAATTCGTTACAGGAACTTGTATCTGGTAAGGACTTTCTTGTACCTTGAAAAAAAAAACTATATAACATAATGAATAATACAAAACAATTATTTTACCATTCTTAGGTGATTTTACAGGAGAAGTTTTTTTGAAATTCTTATTTTCATAATAATTTTTAATATGCGCCATTAGTTCAGGCCTACTAGCATTAACCAGGTTCGGATACTGAACTATTACATTATCCAGGCATGTTCCTGAGAGTTCGTCTTCCCAGCTAACAAATAATCCAGGAACTGACTCAATTTTTAAGTATTTCCTATAAGCTCTGTCTCTCCTAAAAAAAAATAATTTAATCAATTAATTAAACAAATATAAGTTAGTACCCTAAAAGTTTTTGTCCTTCTCTAGTTGCTTTAGTCAATTTCTCAATTTTCCTTTGATTTTCAGAATGCTTCTTGTCATTGGCCAAATCCAATTTTTCCAAGGCAATTTTTAAACCTTCTTGATCTTCTGCCATTTCTTTTTTCAATTTACTTTTCTGCGTCACCAATTCCAATTCCCTTTTTCTTTCCAACCCTTTAAGTACCTTCAATTCTATTTTACTTTGTTTGATCTTTTCTAAATTCTCTTCTACAACGTCCCTTACATCCACATATGTGACAATCTGATTCATCAAACAAGAAATAATTTCTATTTTATCGCTTATTGGTAATTCGACAACATTGTGTAAAGCCAAAGATTTCAATATATGAGCTTGATGTAATCTCAAATGTAATCCGGGGTCATCTTCACTACTGTACCCGCCTCTTTGAGCGTAGCGCCATTTGGCGCCTGAATCTTTAATTCTAGCTCCAGAAGATAACAAATGCATTCTTAATATTTCTGATACTGTTAGTGAGTACATAGGGAGGCGACTTATAGGGAGTCCTTGATATTTTACAGGCCATTTTGAAGCTAAGGTTGCCAAGTGGGTACCTTCTTGAAGATTAGGGGCAGTTGAAACCTTTTCTTCATCAATATCTATAAAAAAAAAAAAATTACCAATAAACTAATCAAACAACTAAAATGTAAATTACCTTTTACAGTTTCAGTTCCTGTATTATAACTGTTTGATTCCTCTTCTTGGCAATTAAAAATTGCCCCAAGTAACATTTGAATTAAGTCAGTTAAAGGTCCAGCTACTTCTCTTTCTGTCAAGGCCCTTTCCAAGCTTTCCAAAGTAAAACCGCCAGGGAAAAAATTTTTAGTTGATAATAATTTATGGAAATTGTGCACAAATTCTAAAATGCAAAGCATGACGCCAAAGTATTGTGTAGGTACTTTGCAGTTTACCGGAGTAGGAATAGGAAGTTTCTAAAATGAGTATGTTTATATATAAATATTGGAAAAATATAAGTTAATTACCATTTGATCTTCGAGTTCTAAATCTTCTTTGGGTTTTGTCCAATCTTTAAAGTACTGAGCCAATTTCAAACTGTCCTCTTTCTTTTTCTGCTTTTGCAAAGCCTTCTGTTCTTCATTTAATTGTTTTTGTTTTTTAAAATCTTCTTCGCGTTTTTTCATTTGCTCCAAAAGCAAACCACTCTTTTTCTCTTTGTTAACATCCTTTTTGCCATTTTTCTGTAAATATTTGGCCATAGATTCTTGTTTCTGTTTTTTGGGTTTTCCATTTACAGCCTTTTCGAAACGTTTCGAAGTTTGGAAATTGGGCTTTGGTCCGTCGAAAATTGTTTCCCACATAACGTCTTTAATATTGTACTGTTCTAAACTTTGAGCTTTGATTGTGAAAACTCCTCTGTCGTCTTGGTCGACGTGCTGTTTTAGAAAAAGTTTACTTTTTTCTCTGGAATACTTTGATTTTTTTCGTCTGATGTGCGTACTGTCGACAATCATTATTTCGGTCAAGTCCGAGTCGCTGGCGTTTAAATGTTCGATTTCGTATTTGTATAAATTAGCTGGAGGTATAAATAAGTGTTTTTCGGGTGAAGTTTTATTTCTGAAATAAATTTCTAGAATTGAAAAGCTATTCTCAAAAATAGTGTCAAATACTGACCCGTTAGTAAGAGTTTCATGTTTATAATCAGGTGCAATCACCGATATAATATGACAATCTTTCCATTTATTACCGGTTAAACAAGCCTCGATATTTTCCCCAACAAAATATCTGTCTTTAGTATAGAGAAAAACGTCGTCGGCCATGTCTCCGAACGAGGTGCGTTTGGTGAGAGAAGCGATGTACAAAATGGGTACTTTGAGGTCTTGGGCAAACCCTTCGAGTAATTTACGGGCTTGGTCTTCACTTTCTTGGGCCTCTAAGTAGGTGAGGTTCGATTTTCCTGTCATGTAGCAAGTCCATACTTGCGAGTTGCATAGAAATATCCTGTCCACGAATTCCCTATATAAGATACAAGAGTTATTTATGCTCTTAAGGAAGAGATTCTATGTTTAGATGGATTAAAATTTATTTTTTCTCTGATGGTTGTATTGGTTGATGTGGCCATTTCTTTGGTTTTTCATCAAAATGGAAATAAAATTATCTTTAATTATTCAGTTTCAGGAAAAGGTCACGATATCTGATCTTGGTTTCAGTAGCCTCAGAAACAAAGTTTCTTCTTCACTATTTCAAAATATCTCAACTACTTTAAAATTATCCATACAGAAATAAAAATGTTTGATCTTATATTAGGAGGATCATGATCAGAATAGGATATTTGTAATAAATTGTGAGGAGAAAGATCTTAAGATATTGTTGATACATTTTCTGAGTTCCGCTTTAGGGAAACGATCAAAGATTGTTTTTCAATGACGATCTCACACTCAAAAATCGCACACTATTCAAGAAGGCTAGGGAACTGAAACAATCAAAAAATTTCAAAGCAGCATATTGTATGAATGGACACATTTACATTAAAAAGAATGATGTTGATCGACCCATTAAAATAGTGAGTGAAAAATACCTTCTTCTTTGTTTGTAGAAACAAATATCTACTAAGACTATGATACAGAAGTGTCAAAGAACTAAAAATTTAACATTCATAGATCTAAATAATGTATGTGATGAGTATAAGGCTCGTGAAACGACTATTTGTGATACTTTGTCTCAATTAACCACATTTGACAATAAAAACAGAGACATTAATATAATCCATGTAAATGTGAGAAGCATTTATAAAAATTTTGATAATTTTTTAGTATTTCTGGAGTCTACTGGTAAGATGTTTGATATCATAGTTATGACAGAAACCCATATTGTTCATGATACAAATAATTTTAACATTCCTGGATACTCTGTATTCTGGAATGAAAGCACCATAAATCAGTTTGATGGATGTATGATATATGTAAGACAGCAATATTTCCAGAGTTGCAGCATCCTAGAATCAAACAATCTAAAATGTCTACATGTTTCATTATACAAAAACAATAATCTTATTAACATTTTAGGACTCTATAGATCACCAGCAACAGATATGGATGGTTTTGTGAATGATTTAAGTAACATTTTGGATACTACTTTATCCGATACTAAACAAATATATCTTGTGATAGGGGATATAAATATCAACTTACTCGATACAGCATCTCCAACAGTAAATAACTACATAACTATGCTAAACTCATATGGATTTTTGAGCATGATTAATAAACCAACTCGTGTACAACATCAGAGTGCTACATGTATTGATCATTGCTTTGTAAAATGCAACAATACAATGTACGATAATCTAAATCCAGTTATATTGAAGAGAGATTTCACTGATCACTACCCCATCCTGTTGAATATTAAGCTTAATACAATTAGTAGATCTGAAACCTCTCAAAATAGACCTGTATTTCGAAAAATTAATTTTAAAAATTTAAAACAAAAATTGTCTGTTGAAAGTTGGAAGGATGTGCTTGAGAGTACTGATGCTGACTCATGTACAGAAGCATTCATTGATCTCATGCAGAAATATGTACAAATGTGTAGCACTATGACTCATGTAACCAATAAACAAATAAAGCTGAAACCCTGGATCACAAGTGGACTCTTAATTTCCATACGTAAAAGAGACAAACTGAAAAAATTATGTACTTTAAATCCAAATAATGTTGAAACATTAAATACTTACCGGCGATACAGAACTAACTTATCTAAACTAATTAAAAAATCTAAATATAACTATTATAAAGCAAAAATTAATCAAAACTCGACAGACTCAAGAAAAATTTGGAAAATAATAAGAGAAGCCACAAATGACTCAAATGTTAAATCAGATATAGGTGCAATTTATAATGATCAAAATATTGAGGTCACTGATAGGAAATTGATGGCAAATGAGTTCAATAAATACTTTAGCAATGTTGGTCAAAAACTAGCACAAAAAATCAACCCACCATCTTGTGAGCCAGGGTCCCAGCAAAGAGTATGTAATCCGGAATCTTTCTTTTTGTCACCAGTCAGAGACCATGAACTTCTGGAGCAGATAAGAAACCTTAAGTGTGGTGTCTCTTGTGGAGAAGATGGCATCACATCAGAGGTGATAAAGTATAATCATGAATATTAACTACGACCCCTAGAGCACATTATAAATGTCATTTTTGGTTCGGGAGTGTATCCAACTGTCCTTAAAGAAGCCCAAATTACTCCCCTTTATAAAGGGGGCGACAAGAAAATGACAACTAACTATAGACCAATTGCACTAATAAGCACTGTTAGTAAAGTAATAGAAAAATGCATTAAACATAAATTGATGATATTCTTAAATAAACATAATCTATTATCACAGAACCAGTTTGCTTTTAAAAATAACATCAGCACAGAAAATGCATTGTGCAAAGTGACAGAACAGATTATAAAGGGTTTGGATAACAGGGAAATGGTTGCTGCCATATTTCTGGACTTGGCAAAGGCCTTCGACACGGTGGCGCACGAAGTTTTATTAAACAGATTACATGATATGGGTATAAGAGGCTTAGCTAATGATCTATTTAAGACATACTCAACTGATAGAACCCAAAAAGTTAAAATTGGGAATGTAAGAAGTGATTCTGTAAAGATGGGAGTTGGTGTACCGCACGGAACTGTGCTGGGGCCTTTGTTATTTAGCATATATATAAATGGTATTTTTTCTGTATTAACTGAGGGAGGGGTTTTCTGTTTTGCAGATGATAGTGTTATTATAGTGAAATGAAAACATAAAAAGATGGTTAGATTTTACCTTGTTATCACTTAACATTGATAAAACTCACTTCATGACCTTCGCTCTAACTCAGGCAACCCTTCCGGAAGTTCAAGAACTCAAGGTTCATGATTCTGTTTGTGACATCCAAGCCTTAAGCTGCACATGTCAGTCCACAATCAAAAGAAAAGACAGTCTGAAGTATCTAGGGGTATTCACTATTCATGGATGAAAAATTAACTTGGAAAACACACATAGAATACGTAACTTCCAAATTAAGAAAGCTGATTTATAAATTCTACGAGCTACGAAACATATTACCATTTAAAACTCTTAAAACCATATATGTGTCGTTAATTGAATCAATTTTAAATTATGGTATTGTTGTCTGGGGAAATGCCCGAAAGAATATTATATCAGCCCTAAATGTAGCTCAAAAATATGTAATTAAAATCATGTATTTTAAAAATAGAAGATATCCCTCCGATTTATTATTCCATGAGTGCAAACTACTGACTTTAAACCAACTATATATGCTAGCGGCAATTCGTTTTATGCAAAAAACAAATTATTATAAACAGGAGATTACCCATGAACTCAATACTAGAAATGCAATTCGTCAGAATGTGATTATACCATCTGTGACCACTTCAGCCATACAGAGACACCTTTACTTTACTGGTCCAAAACTTTATAATATTTTACCTAGTTGCTTGAGAACAAGGAAGTACTGTCAGGTTAGGCATAGGATTAGGAAATGGATAGTGAATAGTGGAGTAACTATTAATGGTCTTAATTAGATTTAACTTTAATTTATTTTTATTTAATTTTGTTGAATTTTGTTAAATTTTATCAAATCTGTTAAATTAATTCCATGTTATTAGATAATTATTAACCTTACCAGTGATATTATTATATATATTAAAGTTAAGGCAATAAGTATTAACATCTGCACACACAGATTTTATAATCCATTGTGCAGTTCCAAGTCATTTGTACCTAATTATTGTACCTGAGTATTGAATAAATTATTATTATTATTATTATTAAATCTCAGAATAATTTAGTGTATGGAGTTTAAGAAGTCCCTAATGATCATTTAGAGACTAAATCTCAACATAAAAGAATTTGAAATTTTATCATTTCAGTACTGAGGTAACCTTATGATTTGGATTTCTGAAAAACTTTGAAAGATCATAACTTTTTTTCTATTAGAGATAGAAAACTGAAATTTGCAGCGATTTTCATCCCAGTAGAGGACTATAAACCCTGAAAATTTCAGGTTATTTGGACTTATAGTTTCTGAAATAAAATCGCGTTAAACAATTTGGGGTAAATTATCAATTTTTTAATATTTTTGAGTGCCTTTTTTCATTGAATTCGGCTTCAAATCTCAGAATAATTTAGTTATGGAGTTTGGGGAATTCCCAATGATTATTTAGAAACAAAATTTCAACATAAAAAAATTTGAAATTTTATTATTTTAGTAGGTACTAACTAAAAAACCTAGCTTATGATTTGGATTTCTCAAAACTTTGAAAGATCATAACTTTTTTCTATTAGGGATAGAAAGCTGAAATTTTCAGCGATTCTTATCCTAGTAGAGGCCAGAGCTGGGCAAAGCCCTCAGTAAAAGGGCTTGAAGCACTAAGCCCTAAGCCCTCTGTCAAAGTGCTTCAATTTCAAGCACAAATTCCTTTTTATTTTTAAAAGTGCTTCACAAGCACAAAGCCCTCAAAGTGCTTTGGGCTTGACAAGCACAAAGCCCTCAAAGTGATTTGAAAAGTGCTTGAAGCACATCAAAAGTGCTTGAGGTGCCTTGAAAAGGGCTTCAAGCTCTTTAAATGTGCTTCAAGCTCTTTAAATGTACTTGAAGCTCTTTAAATGTGCCTAAAGCACTTTGAATTTGTAATAAAATTCTCAAAGTGGCATAAGCTACCGCGTAAACTCATCACACAGAATTGGTATAGTAGAGACGAACTTTACATTTCACAGAGTAGCAGTAGTATGTTTTTTTTTGAGATGTAGTTCTGGGGTAGGTACTAAATTAATTATTTATTTTAATAATAAGTTCATTCATTTTTTTTTAAATTCCATTCTAAGCTCCAACCCAAAACCTCGATTGTTAAGAGAGAAAAGACATAAGACGGTTCAAGTTCAAATAAAAGAAAAAAAAATTAAGGGACAAAACACGATCGAAAATTTTTAAGTGGGAGGTTGAATGATGGTCAAT